GAGCGGTTCTTCTGCTCCCAGAGCTGCCGAGGTGGAGCAGGGATGGGGAAAGAAAAAATAAATTTAAAAATAATAAAAAAAAAAGAAGTTGTGGAAAGCATGAAGTTTTGCACTTCAGGAGACTTCCAGCCTTCGTGCAGAAATTTAAACAGAGGAAAGTCCAGATGCATCCATTTCCTCGCGGAGAAACCGGGAGCGTGACAAATGATCGATACACAGGCACGTACCCTGAAAGCGTTCACACACGTCTTACTAAGAGAGTATGGAAAAGTCATTTACACCATCAAAAGAGAGGTGTTTTTTTTTTTTAAAAAAAATACTTAAATTATTTTCAGCTCTGAGAAATTCCATCAAACACCACTTGTAAGAAATACACTGACAAAGCAAAGAGAGAATCACTAAATCAGATTTTAAACTGATTTGCAAATTTGGAGGGAATCAGGAAAGACGTTTCAAACCCATGCCTTTGAGTGTACAATTTAAATCAATCAATTAAAAAAAATGTGCAAAACACAATAAAATACAATTAGGCAGACAAACAATTAGGCAGATAAAGAGAAAGAAATCAGCTCTTAGGTATGCAGCTCTGGATTTAGTCTGAAACTGTTTAAATACCTTTACGTCCTGGAACTGGTGATGTGCCCAGAGCTCCTTTGTTTAGTGGAGATCTGGGCAGAAAAGAAGGGAATAAAACCCTCACTCTTGAAGGAGAGAAGAAAAGGTACAGCCTCATCCAAATTGGACAGGGGGAGGGCCTTGCGGCAGAGAAAGGGGTGCAGGAGGAGTGGGAGTAGCGAGAGGACAACCCTACCGCATTCTTCAGCCAAAAGTTTTTAACTTCAAGGAGGGGCTGGGGGAGAGGTTGGGTTTAGGCAGAGAGGTCTGAATGCAGACAAGATTATCACCTAGCCATTCCTTCCGAGCCCAGGACTCGTTTGGTGCAGTTAATTAGGGACCGCTTTCCCTTCAGCTGGATGCGGTGAGCACTCATCCCAAATTTCGGCTGGAGCTGCAGGAGGGCATTAGTAACAGTGACTTCACATCAAAAGAGTTGGTGAAAAATAACTCGGTTTCAATTTGGGGACTTACTCTTTTTTTTTAAAAAAAAAAAATGGTGTGTTAACAGAAGGGAATAATAGCAAAAAAAAAAAAAGATTTCAAGTAAAAGGCACTTTTTAAAGTGATCATTTTCCTGTACTTAGCGCAACTGCTGTGAAACAATTAAGGAAAGACAGATGGCTTGAAGGATAGGTGACCCAGCCCAGGACCTTCATGCTCAAAAGTTACCTCGGCTCCAGAGGAGAAAAATCTTTGAAGTTAAAAGCATTTTCTCAAAATACATATTTATTTAAAAAAAAAAAAAAGTATGTTGGTGATATTAAGTCTTTCTTCCAAGGAAGACTTTGTCTGAATGTCAGCTCTGAGTCTAATTCCACTCTTTTGCTCCATGCAAAAATAATCTTTCTCTGCCTCTTGCTTTAGGAATCGTTACTGATGGCTTTTCTTTAAATGAGACATAATAAAGCGCACATGGCCCTCCTCCTCTCTGAGCTCCCTCTGCTCTGTGCCACTGCACCCCCGCAGCTCCTCCAGGAGGTGGAAGTCCCCCAGCACGGACAGACAGCGGTGCCAGAAGTCTCCCCGGAAAGCCCAAATCGAGCTGCTTTTCAGCTCAAAGAGGTTCAGAGAAGTTTCTGCACCAAACGGAACCCAAACGGCCGTGCACAAGGCAGCCGGTGAGGCAAACGCCTCCTGATTATCCCACCATCTGGCTTGGAGCTCCGGTACCTCTTTACACCCAGCGGAGGAGGGTTCAAATGCAGCTATCGGATCGGTTCCCAGAGGTGCAGAAATTCCAGGGCAAGCCCCAAGCTGACAGGAGACTGTCATCTCTTCTCCTCCCGCCTTTCTTTGAAATGTCCTCCCTGCCTCCTTTGTTCTTTTCGCTCTTCCTAATCAACCCCCTACCAGCTTTATAGAAGTCAGAATGATGCTCAGCCTAATTAACAGCCAGCTCGTGGGGACTCACAGGGAAGAGGCAGAGCTCGTTTCCACAGGCAGCCAATAATGGAGCGTTGCAAGGAATGCAGCGCTGTCAACACGTCCGCAGCGCTCTGCAGAGCTCAACGAGATACCAAAACTATTTCCTGGGCCCGATCCTGCAATACCTATTTCAGTTTCAAATAAACGTGGACTTCACCTGGTGGAGAACGGCAGAACCAGGACATCGTACAGAGCAGCACAGCAGGGAAAGCTCAAAGACCTACATTTTCCTCCTTCTCAAAGGCACAGCAAGTTGGTGACAACTGCTGAGGCAAAAGATTCCCTTTCCAGTCTGGTCTAGTTTAATCCCTGCTAACTCCTATATTGTGTTCATCACATTGCTTATGTGGATAGTTAAAGGTTTTCTGACACCTAAAAAAGCACACAGGGTCTTTGTTAGATTTCTGGGAGCTTCTGCAAATACATCTGCAACTTTTGACCACCAGATATTTAAAAAACAAACAGACTTTCAAGTGTCCAAAACAGGTGATATTACATAAATGGAGAAGTTTTCTTGTTTCTTTTCCGGGTGCTAAATCGGCCACAGATCTTAACTTTTAGAAAGCATTTGTAGTGCCAGTT